GTCCCAGAGACAGAAGGCCCAGCTGATACAGTCGGCATCCTGTCTTCGGGCTGAAGAATATTCATGCACTGGAGCTGCCAGTCACAAAGAGGTAGGAGATCATGTTCTTGAAGCGATGATTTAAGGTAGTCTGACATAGTAAAAGCCTTCATGTAAGTCATCCGTCAGCATGCGGCTGAAGACCTCATAGTAAAATTCACTAAAACCAGGCAAGCTTTGAAGGCCTAGCCACAGCGTCCTCTCCTTCTCCTCATGGGTTAAGAACAATGGGCAAGCAACCTAACCTTCCTTACCTAGTAGACCAGATCAAGTTCCTTTTCATTCCTAGTCGAGGGCTCAGTTCTGTAACAATGCATGGACTCATTTAAATAACTCAAATATGTTTCCCCAAGGAAACCAGGGACTATCCTATTCCTTTGATACTACAAAGCCCGGTTTGTAACGTTCCAGGACCCCAGATGTTCCCTCTGCTCTCAAGTTCAACCCTCTTTTGCCTCATGTGCCACTGGGTCTTCCTCCCTCAGCCTCTCAGAATGTGTGATTGATAATATATGGCTTTTGGATCGTATCTCTACTGTTTGGTATCATGTGTTCACCCACTCCTTTAACTCCCCTGCAGTAAACAGGAAGTTGTTCAAACACAGTGTAGAGATATCAGCCAGCAGGGACTGTGCTCACCAATGCTGCACCTATGCAGATGGGGATAGAGCCCCCTAAGAGCCTTCTCAGCAAGGAAATGCTCCCTCCAACCGCCTGTGAGGCCCACGAAATTTCACTGGAAGAGCAGCAAGGCAATGTTGAAACTGCCTCCCAGTTTTAACACCACCTGCTGGGGCTATGCTCACAATGATTCACTGAGAATGGCACGGTCTAACCAGCAAATTGTTTATAGACCATTAACTTCAGACTATCCCACACTGAGAAAGGAAAACAAATCCACACTGAGATTTCAATGTTAACTTGCAATCTTTATTCAAAAACAACTCTTCAAGGCTGAGCCTGGTGATACAGGCTATAATCCCACTGCTTAGGAAGCAGAAGCAAGAGAATAAGGAGTTCGAAGTCATCCTTGACTATAGAGTGAATGTGGACTCATTCTTGGAGTCTTACATAAGGTTCCTATTGCTATGATGTAACATCATGATCAAAAGCCAGTTGGGGAGGAAAGGTTCATCTGGCTTACATTTCCACATCATTATCCACCACTGAAGAGAGTCAGGACAGGAACCCAATCAGGGAAGGAACCTGGAAGCAGTAACTGATGCAAAGTCCAAGGAGGGGTGCTGCTTACTGACTTGCTCATCATGGCTTGCTCAGTCTGCTTTCTTGCAGAACCCAGAAGAACCTGCCCAGGAGTAGCACCAGGCACAGTGAACAGAGTTCTCTCTTATCAATCTCTAGTGAAGAAAATGCCTACGACTGGATCTTTTGGAGGCATTTCCTCAATTGAGATTTTTCTCCTTTCACATGATTCTGGCCTATGTCAATCTGATGTAAAACTAGGCAGCACGCTGAGCTATATGAGAGGCCTTGTTTCACACATACCTATAACTATACCCACACCCATACGCATACCCATATCCATCCCCATATTTATAGATGAGAGAGAATCTTATAATGGGAGTTGAGGAGGTAAGACAGCTCAGGGGATAGCAGGGGTAAATGTGCTTGCCTCCAAGCCTGAGGAACCGAGTTCAATCTCTACAACCCAGTTTAGAAAGGCAGAACAGTTAATGGCCTGCAAGATGTCTTCTGACCTCCACGTTCACGCTACAGACATGTGCGACCACACACATATTAACATGCATACACACACTAAATAAATAAATAAACAAAAGGGTGTTCAGCCAAATGAAACCAGGACTATTGACTCTACTCCAAGTGCTGCTATATGCCTTTCCTCTCTTATCACTTCTCCAGTTCTGGGGATGCTCTTCAATGGTCTCTTGATTCACCCATCCTAACTGCATTCATCTGCACAACGGAAATAAAACTAATTTCTATTGTATATGCTTGCAGCAATGTCAGTTTCAACATGTACAAATTATTTTTAAAAGCTTTGAGTAAATTTAAAATAAGAAAGTAGTCTGGAGCTTTAAAGGTAGTTCAGTGGTTAGGAGCACTTGCTGCTCTTCCAAGAGGACCTGAGTTTGATTCCAGCACCTACATGGTGGCTCACAACCACCTGGACTCTAATTCCATCTCTGTCCTATGCGGGCACTGCACACATGTGGCACCCAGACATCCATGTGATAAAACACCCTCGCACATGAATTTTAAAAGTAGTGGAACCCTGCCTGCTCCTGGCCTGTCCAGGGCATCTGGTCAACAAAACCTTCAGAGTAACCATCAATCCAGGAGGGTATACAGAACTGAAACACGCCAGTCAGGGGATCTGCTCACATGAAGGATAATTGAAAATGTTCAAGTCTGACAATCTTTCTAAATAATGCGAAGGGAAGGAAGGAAGAGTTTGGACTGGGCTTGCCAGTCCCAGTGTTCAGGAAGGAGACTTAAAGCTGGGCAGTGGCAGTGCACGCCTTTAACGGCGGCACTTGGGAGGCAGAGGCAGGCAGATCTCTATGAGTTCGAGGTCAGCCTGGTCTATAAGAGCTAATTCCAAGACAGGCTTCAAAGGTACAGAAAAACCCTGTCTCAAAAAACCAAAAGAAAAAAAAGGAAGAAGGAAACTTGATCTTGGCACTAGCAACACATAAAATTGTTTCAAAGAGGAGAACGGTGTTATATACAAAAGGAATATTTTGGAATTTCTCGGTAGTCCTTATAGTCCTTGAAAATCCTGTAATTGGAAGAAGGGATTAGCAAGATCATGTGTTGAAACGGAAATGTAGTTAATCTAATGTTTTTATCTATAACATGGTAAACACACATTTATCTACCATCTTCAAGCTCAAGTCTTACACCTCTGCAAGGTGACCTTGGCAGAGAATTCGTCACCACCTGCTCTGCTTTCATTTCCACATGGCCCTCACACCCTAGACTGAAATTTATCGGTATAATCAGCTTGAGGTGTCAAAATGAATACAACTATCTATATTAGTTACTTTTCATATTGTCCGATATACCTATCAGAAAGAGCTGTGGGAGGAAGGATTGGTTTCGACTTACGGCTTTGGATGGGAGAGTCCATCACAGTGGAGGAAGCAGGGCAGGGTGGCAGAGGGACTTCTGCAGGAGGAGGCCCACATGGTGGCTGGAACACTTGGCAGGACTTCTTCACATGACACAAACCAGGGGTCAGAGCGTACAGCCAGAACCAGAGGCAGGTGAGACCTTCAAATGCCTCCCCCTTGAAACCTGCTTTTATCCGTTAGGCCCACATCACAAAGGTTTCGCAAGTTTCAAAACAGTGCTATGGATTAAGAAGTTCCACGAGTCTGTGGGAGGGGGGCAGTATTTAACTGAAATACTTTAACTTCCTATGATTCAGTTTTAACTTAATATAGATAATAACTCCAAGGGGCTTATACGGTATCAAAGTCACAACAAAGAGAGAATTCTAGGTTCTCGATATCATCTAGATAAGTGGAGACGCCCAGTACCCTTATTGCCTCATGCACGTTCGCCCTTGTCCCTGGTCTTCAGTCAAGTTCAAGGCTTGTTTCTGCTGCTACTAGCTCTGACAATCCGCTGCCAGTAAATGCTAGTAACTTACTGCCATTTCTTCTCAGGGTCTGTCCACCATTCCAGGGCCATATCTAGCCCTAACTTCCTGTTATCTCTTCAGGTTCCACTAGTGCCAACCTCCTTCATACCTACAGCTCTTTCCCTCAATTCACAGGGCTCCTACCTCATCTAAATGATGAGGCAGGTTGGAGGGCAGTTGTTTATTTACCTCCCCAGTATTTGTCTCAACCATGAATCCATCTTTCTGTAATCTGCCCGACCTGTGCCTGCTTTGAATCCCACTGGCATCAGGGCTCCCCACACCCTCACCCTCACATATGTACTCACGAGACTTGGAATGTGTTCCTTCCTCTTTTAAACTGAATACTAAATAACACATTGGCTTACAATGACTTAGAGAGACCTGGAGAAGAGATAAATTATCCGCGCGCGTGCCTGTATGCGCACCAAGACCTCAGAAAGCCTGCGGGTGGTAAACAGTTGCCTGTGGTGCTTCAAGAGTTCCCGGTGATTCTGACGCACACTCAAGTTTGAGAACTACTGATCCATGCACTAGACAAGCATCAGACACCAAGCTGCGTGACTGAAGTAAAACGCCGGCAAGCTCACGGGGTGGCGTGGTCTCCTGTTGCTGACCGGGTTTGTTTAGGGGCATGCTATTTATCCTTCTTGTGGCTTTTTTTTTCCTGCCTACAAAGCAGTGAATAATGATAGTCCATACCTCATATGGGCTCTGATGAGCATGAAATGCAGGCGTGTGTACAGAAGGCCTCCAGAACTGTGAAAATGCCATAGAACCCACAAGTCACTCTGGCAGCTTTCAGAATGCCAGCGGCAGCGGCAGCAGCAGCAGAACAGCTTGACGGGAAAGTCCAGCACTTTCTCAACAACCCTCTGAAGGCCTGAACAGCTGCCGGGCTCAGTCCACATCTCAGCAAATCCGTCAGCCATTTGTCTGCCTTTGCTAGCATTCTAGAGAGCCTCTTCTCGCCTCTGCCTGCAGCCTCCTAAGACTGAGCTCTGAGAGAAGGCAGAAGCTGGTGCCCTGTGTCCTCCCTGGATTGTGACTACAGATGGTGGTGGTTTACAAAGGGCAAGCATCAAAGATGTCTAGCGTGGCTGTTTCTCTCTGCATCATTTTTTCAAGTGCTCTTGCTCTAGTTTAGGAAGAGGAATGAGGGGAAAGAGGGAGAGAAATAAGAAGAGAGCTAGATCATTTATCCAAGACCTACAGACTTCCTCCCTATGTCTTAGCTTGGCTTCCTCAGGGGTTTTTCTCTGCTGGTCAGAAAAGGCACCACGAGGTCACAGAGCCTTGTACACTCTCGGAGGGAGGAAGCGGAGGAAGCGGTGTCATTCAGATGCAGGCAAGCGGCTCGCTTGTGCCTTGTCTGCTTATAGAACAAAAGCGTGCAGCACATTCAAGCATCCCTGAACCCCTAGGGAAAGGCTGTCAGTGGTCACAGCACATGAATATCAAAGAATCCTCCCTCTGCAGGTGGACTGTCACAGTGCGGTCTCATCTCCTGGACTTCCGGTTGGCCTTTGAAGCTGATGGCTACAAAGACGTGGATGAATTTGAAAAACGTAAGAGAGCACAGCTGGGGTGGATCCAGCAGATTTCCCTAGCAATCTTAAGCATCCCAGATAGAAGCAAGTTCACAGATCTCCCTTACCACCTTTATTATGGTGCTAACAATTTTCTTTTTCAACAAGAAAACTTCCTTGTTGTGGGTTTGACTTTTCAAGTCAAAAGGCTGGTGAAAAGATTTGAAGAGCAGCTCAGTCGTAGAGCTCCTCCCTAGCATGCACAAGGCCCTGCATCTGAACCTCAGGACTGTAAAATAAATCAAGAAAGAAACAGATACGTAAACAAATACTGGGGAAAATATTACTCATTTATCAAAGATATATTCAACAAAGATGACCTCTAAACCCCTCCCATTTCTGAAACTCAAGCTTCCCAGCAATCTGGTTTGCCAGAATTATATATATATACATATATATATATATATATGAGAAGGAAGGGAAGGAGGGAGGGAGGGAAGGAGGGAGGAAGGAAGGAAGGAAGGAAAAAAGTCTTAAGACTGGGATTCAACTCCACAAAATTCTAGAAGATATTTTTACTTAATGCCTACAATTATTTGTGGATCCTTAAGTCTTCCACCTAAACAGCATGGCCTGGTCTGTGTTACACATGCTTGTATTAAAGAGGTATTACACGTTTAGCTGCAGGTTCTAGCAAGGGTTCAAAGAAAAGAAATAGCAGGTGCAACTGTCACCTAAAGGAGAAAAGATGAGTGACCACCTTTTTCATAGCTCAGGACACGTTGTGTACACCAACTTAAAGCTGGTAATTTCACCCAGAAGGGATGAGTTCCTGGTCTCCTAGCTCCATGCAGATGGCTTAGAAAGGGCATTCATTGACTGTGGCGCTGCAACCAGGAAAGACCAAGAAATGGGAGAATAATCATAAGAAAGAAAAATAGCTCAATCCTGTGGTTTCATAACCCAATTTCACCCTCTCCTTTCGGCACTCACCTAAGCCTGCAGCTCTCGTTTTGCACAATTTTCACTTGTACCGATGCCAGTTTAGCTCAGGGAACAAAACAAGCCACAGTTCTCAATTAAATATACTGTGAAAACAGGAAGTTCATGTTTGGCCTGGGGTTTATCCACATTAAGCTGAGGGCTGCAGCCAAGAATTCTGAGGCTGTCTGCATTTTATCTTTCCTCTAAGAGGATCAGACTGTCACATTACCTCCAATTGGAAGGGTTTGGGGATCTGTGTACACAGGGCACAGTGAGAAGCTGTAGGAATTTAGGAGTCTCCATCATGCAGGTATGGTGCTGCAAATAAAGAGACAATATGATGCTTCTCAGGATCCCAAAGCCTACCCATCCTCAGTATAAGAAGAGCCAGCTGTCTCTGATCCTCTTTAGCCTCTGAAATACTCACTAGAGCCCTGCCTTTGGGTGTTCCGTAATCAGTCTTTATAAGACTCAAGAACGCAATTCAAAAAATTCTCCCCAACCCCCACAGCCAGAAATTTGGGGTTTTCTGGAAGGCAGGCAGAGTGAAAGAATAAGTCAGATACCTGAACGTGTTGCTTTTTGAGGTCTCATGGTTTTACCTGCTAGCCTATCTTTAACACCACTGAAAGAGTAGGACGGTTAAATTTACGTGAAGGAAATGGTCAGTGTTTGTTGTTCAGTAACACATTATAGGCCTAATGAATGGACAAGTTGTTCCAACTGCCCTGCTGGCTGATTCAGGGCAAATAGTCATGGCTATCACCCTACCCAGCCCACCTCCAAGATGAGCTCCTTTTCACCAACTAAGTGGTTGCTCCTTTTACAAGGAACTTCTTCTCATATCCCCTGTTGTAAGACCTCTGTGTTCTCTCTTAAACTTCCTTGCTTCCCCAGCACTCTGAGTTCCTAAGAGAGAAATATGCACACACCTATTGTCTTTGTTATTCTTTCTGTTGTAGCAGAAAGAAGATATCTGTTAAAAATAACCTATGGGGGTTAGGAAGGGGTTATTTTGGCTCACAGTTCAAGGGTGCAGATCACACAGCAGGAGCTTGAGGAGACTGCTGGTCACTTTGCATCTGCAATCTTGAAGTGATGAGCACTCACTTTCTCCTTCTTATACAGTCCAAGTACCCAGCCCAAGGAATGATGCCACTCACAGTGGGCAGGTCCTCCCAGGCTCCTCTCGCAGAAGCATGCTGAGAGAACAGTCTTCCATGGTGATTCTAGCTCCCATCAAGTTGACAACTGAGATTAACCATCACAGATATACATGCATAGTCTTCATACACTGCCTTTCCTTTCCCCCAGGCTTTCCACTACAGAAGTTACCCCACTCCCAGTGTGTCCATCATTTCTCTGGAAGGATCTGAGAGTGGCTGAGATCCTGAAGGCCAAAAGCAAAGAGGTAAGGAGTGAAAGCATTTAAGAGCACTCGCTGCTCTTGTAAAGAAACTGGATTTGCCAGAACAGATGCAAGACTGCTACCTAAGATGATCAAGTCTCATAAGGATACTCCAGTCACGACTTGATCATAATTCTAAATTTTCTTTAGGTCCCCATAAGATTATCAGTGCACCCAACCAGCAGAAAGTAGTCTAGAAAACTACATCCACATTCCCCCATATCCAAATAGACTTTGGATATTTTCCTTTGTTTAGAATGTTGGTTACAAGTTTTTATGGCTAATGGTAAGGAGAAAAGCTAAACAAAGGATATTAGATTCAGAGTCCTTGTTTTAAAAAGAGAAAAGAGGGGAAGTGGTGTGGGGCAATGGTCTGTATTCTGTCAATTATATTTTAAACAAATGCTGATTGGCCAATAGCCAGGCAGGTATATGCAGGATAACCAGACAGGAAGTAGAGACAGGTCAATGAGAACAGGAGAATTCTGGGAAGAGGAAAGCTTGGTCTGTAGCCCCTTGGTCTGCAGTCCTGATCCGACCACAGAGCAAGCAAGATGTGACTGTTCCGTTAAAAAGATACCAAGCCACGTGGCTAACACAGACAAGAATAATGTGCTAATATAAGTTATAAAAGTTAATAAGAAGCCTGAGCTAATGGGTCAATCAGTTTATAGTTAATGTAAAAAAGAAAAGAAGAGAAAAAAAAAACTGTACTTGGTTCCCAGCAACCATTCAGGGAATTCACAACCATCTCTAACTCTGGCTCCAGGGAGTCTGATGCCCTCTTCTCTTCTTTTTGGGTACCAGGGAGGTATATAGTATGCACATGTGTAAATGAAGGCAAACACTGTAGACATAAAATAAAAGATAGTAAAAGCACAGAAGTTCTTTAGGAAGCTTAATATTTGTGCAAAAAAGGAAAATAACATGAGCAAAGGAGTTAAGCCTGGGTGAGATAGTGGAAAGGGTGAGGAGCAGTCCATGCCATGAGAGCATTTGCTGATGGACTGCACACTGACCAAAAGAGACATGGAATGACAGCTCCCACACTTTTGTTTTAAGCAACTGGGTGGGTGGCAGTACCATTTGAATAGATGGGGAAGCAAGGAAGAAAAGTTCAGAAGAAAGAACTGCCATGTCGGAGCATTAGTGTCTGGATGCCCACTACGTATCTAAGCAGAAATGATGTACCTTAATCCATATAGCTGCACTGAAGTCAGCATACAGATTTGGGAGTAATCAGAAATACAATAATCATGTCTCATGAATATGGTCTGATATATGCTAGGAATAATAGACAAGTTAAGACTTGAGGAGGCCAGGAAAATGGTTCCAATTTCCCAAGATGAGTACATATTCAGTTCAGACAGGGTTTATCTGCTCATGCTGAGAGCATATTTTTTAAGTGCCATTATACACTGTGAGAACTAAAAGACACCAATATTAATTCTTTAACTAGAAAAGAATAAATGCTAATTAAATGCCATTTGTATTTGAGGAGTTAATCACCTAATAGAGGAGATAAACACATAAAATATGAATGTAGCCTTGGAGACTATACAGGACATTAAAGTAGAGGCAACAAAAGCTTTGTGGGTTCATGTGTGTCCCATGCCAAGGGACTACTAGTCCTTTACACTGTAATTAGGACAACTAGCCATTCTGTGGCCGAGATGATGCTGGAACTCCGTCACAAGGGCTTCAGTGTCCCAGTGACTTTGCTATACCTGGCCTTCGCATCTGCAGGAATTGTGAAGACCCAGGCAGCCTTGAGGTTATTTCAATGACAAGAATTTCTGTTTAGTAATTCAGTATGTCTTTCCCACTGACATGGTGTATCTGTATGACCTAATCTTAGCAGTGAAAAAATCTATGGCTTAATTCTGTCTCATTACAGCAGTCAGGGTGGGATGTAACTGTAGGGGTTCATGCATATGTCTGTATCTAATACTAATACAAAAAAAAACATAAAATATTGGTAGCTACAACACTGTCTATGCTCCACATCAGAAACTTTTTTGAGTACTTGTTTGCTTGGTTTGTTTTGGTTTTTGTGTTTTGGTTTTTGAAACAGGAACATATTATATAACCCAGACTGGCATCAAACTCACAGCAATCCTCCTGCCTCACCTAAATTCTTTGTATAAATTGTCCTCCTTTATACTCACAATAATCAGTTGAGACAAGTAATTATTATCCTCATTTGGATAACAACCAAATAACTAAAATCACTCAGTGTCCTAGTAATAGACCTGCACTGTGAACTCCTATGGGACCCTTTGGTGAGAGGCACCACTGTAACCTTGGACTCCATAGTGGCTTTGGGTCCCATTGTATGCAACCCTTACATTCTACACAGTATCCACTCAATGAGAGAACCTCCCGCACACCCACCCACCGCTGTCAATCCATCTACTCTGCTCGCATGCCTCCCAAAGCTGCCCCAATTTACATAATCTCTTTGTGTTTCTCACACAGACCTGACTGACACTGTCCAGGAACCCACCTGAAATAATGGATCCTTCGGAGACACCAGAAGCCCTTTCCATTTCAGTTTCAGTTTTAAATTGTTACACTGTCCACCAATCTGCTGATAAAACACAATAATGTGATTTATCTCTGAGAACAGTAGCAACATCTCAACAAATTGGATTTGCTTTATCTTCTTGTTTAAAAAAAAATGTTGTTCAGGGTTTTCTTTGAAGATGTCCTTTTCAAAACATTGTCCTCCTGATAACTTGAGATGACTTTGAGGGGGAGAAAGCGAGAGGGAAAGAGAATTTAACTTACATTCCCTACCCCTTCTGATGCTGAGAAAGACATGTCTACCCCACCCTCTCCCTAGAACCTTGCTGAGCTGCCTCTACCCCTTTCCCCTTTGTTTCTATACTAAGTACAGATCTAGTTTCTAGAGGGGTAGCCCTGATATCAAATGATTAGGCACTCCTCTTCCCTCCTGTCCTCTATCTATGGCCTAGAAGGCCATGACTGTATGTTCCATCATTTATCCTGTCTTCCCCACTCTACTCTTTCTCAGAACCCAACCCATTTGCCCAGATCCAGATCCTAGACTTTCTTGAATGTCCCATAGGCTCTATACCACAGTAACCCATCCACCCGTATTCTTTTACTGAATGGTTCCTAAACCTTTTGGCTAAAACTCCTGTGTGAGCCCATGTAGGCCAGACCTACCTTCATGGAAACATGTTCTTTCCATAGCTCTAGTTGTTTTAGAGTAAACTACACAGTGTATTTTCAGGATGGAATCTAGAAGACCACCTCTCTGGTGTGACCTTCACAGTGAAGAGTTTGAGACGGGAACTTGAGAACATGTGAGTGTCTCTACTACCATCTCTTCACCTTTTCACCCTCATCGGTCTTCACCACAGTGACACCACCGTATGTCTCCCTTCCTCCCCTCTCATGCACTCCCCCCTCGAGCATATCCCACTTCTGATGCACTAAATATGCCCAGCTCCTCTGTGGTACGTGTTCCTCCTTCTTAGATGCCCGACAAACTCCTCCCCCTCTCCCCAGCTATTACTCCAGGTAGAGTTGGTTCTTGCCTTCCCTGGGCTGCAATAGCATACTCTCCATATAAATGTTTCTGGATGTTTTAAACTTTTTAAATCCATTTCTGTGGTGAATTAAGAATGGCCACAAATTCATTATGATACCTTCCATTAAAACGTAGCGTCTACTGGGAAATCGAGGGAGGAATTTGGGTGGGCTGAGCATGGGAGGTGGGTTGGGGCTGGAATGGAAGGGGAGAGTAATAAGAGACATCTTGAGGGCAGGTGGCATTTCTGGGTTAGGGAGAAACCTGGTACCAAGTGAAAGACCCCAGAAGTCAAGGGGGTCTCACTTGGAGCCCTCTGCCCAAGAACCAGTCCACTGGATGCAAGAACAAGAGGCAGTTTAATGAATATACACAGGCGCCTATGGATACTACAGCAACCAAGTTACTGAGCATGCCAGGCTGAAGGCACATTATGTATTTATAGGGATTTAAGAGTTACATAAGAGTCTGCATAGCAACAAGCATTTCATTGGTTCTCAAATTGGCCGGCTTAGCTCACCCCGGGAATGACCCCATGTCTATTCCCGAATTTTCCCGAAAAACCACAAAGCTAGTTAGAGAACCCTACAGCAAGTTGACAGTTTCGATAGACTGCCTTGGGGGTGGGGTACTCCCTCTCCTCAGCCTAGTCAGCAAGTCTGCAACCCATAGATATCCTGTTTTAGCATCGGCTGGACCGGGGAACTTTTCTTCTATGGCCCAGCTAAATTTCGCAGAGTCATTAGCTGAGCCTGGGGACTTTTTTCTATGGCTCAGTTAAGTTTTTCAGCAGAGTTTAACATAGTATGTGGACATGGGGTCTTTCAAGTATGGGGGGGGCTTTCACAAGGAAATTCCCAGGAATCCGCAAGGATGACCCCAGTTAAGGCCCCTAACAATAGTGTAACTACTACTGAACTAGCCTGAACTGGCCTGAACTGGCCTAAACTAGCCATCTATTGTAATTAGATTGGTGACTACCTTTATTGCCCTCAGAGAGCCTTTATCCAGTAACCGATGGAAGCAGTTGCAGAGATCCATAGGCAAGCACTGGCCTGAGTTCCAGGAGTTCTGGTGAAGAACAAGGGAGGAGGGATTGTAAAACTAGAGGGATTAAGTTCATGCACAGGTAACCCACAGAGACAGCTTGGGAGCTCATGGACTCTGAATCAACAGTTAGGGAACCTGCCTGAGACTGACCTAGGCCCTCTGTATCTTTGTGATCTATGTGTACTTTGATCTGTAAGGCTTCTAGAAGTGAGATCAGGACTTGTCCCTGCACTTAGCTGGCTTTTGGGAACCTGTTCCCCATGCTTAATTACCTATCATAGATTTGATGCAGGGGGAGGAGCTTGGTCCTGCCTCAACTTGATGTACCATACTTTGTTCAAGTCCATGGGTGGTCTGCCCCTTTCTGAAGGGATACCAAAGAGGAGTGGATAGGGAGAGTAGATGGGGAGGAAGCAGGAGGAGAGAATAGAGAGAAAACTGTAATTGGTATATTTAAAAAAAGGAGAAAGAAGCTAATTAAATAAAAAGATGTTTATAAAAAGCAAACTCTATATGTCTTTTCTAGAATGTAAGCAGGTTTATGACCACATTGATCAAAACATATATATATATTAAGAGTAAGAAGTTGGCAGTTTCTACTTTTTCTCTTTCTTTAAAAGTGTACTGGGTTTTGTTCCTGTTTTTTGTTTTATTTTGGTTTTGAGGATTTTGTACATAAACCCTGTATTTGCCCTATTTCTTTCCCCTCCTCCTCTCTAACTCCTCCCATGTCCCTCTGACTCCTCTCCAATTCATGACCTCTTTCTCTTTTTTTTCTAACTATTATTGTTATATGCAGAATAGATAGATGACTGATAGACAGGTAGATAAATACATAGATAGACGGATAAGTAAATGATAGACAGATAGATACATATTAGAGAGAGATAGATAGATGATAGAAACATAGATAGATAGATACATAGATACATAAATACATAGATACATAGATTAGATAAACAGAGATGGAGATAGATAGATAGATAGATAGATAGATAGATAGATAGATAGATAGATAGATAGATAGATATAGAAAGATAGATAGATAGACAGATAAACAGATAGACACATACACATGCACACGCATACATGCATATATACATACATATACACACATACAGAACCCAAACCTACTAAGTTCATTTAGTATTGTTTGTATGTGCCTTAGTTAGAGCTGATCACTTGGGATTGGACAACCTATCAGAGGCCTTGTCTCTGCAGAAAACTGACTCTATCTCTCTCAGCAGTCATTTATTATGTAGGTCACTACCGAGGGATGGGACCCTGTGAGATTCTCCCCATTCACATTGGCATGACAGCTGATGTCTTTAAGAAAGCCCTGCTTAGGCAACCACATTGTTAAGCTTTCGTGGGTGCCCCTTCCCTGCCCTGTCTAGAAGACACTCCTGTGAGGCAGCAGCCTTGGTCTTCTAGCTCTTACCATCTCACCAACCTCTCTTCAGCAATATTCCCTGAGTCACCACCCACTTCAGACATAAGACTTGGAGCAATCTGGAACTGAGTAGTTGGCTGGAGAGACTGAAGACTCTTTAGAAGAGAACCTATTGCTGCCATCTTCCTAAATCAATATAATCTCTAACTGTATTCCAATATCTATGCCTATACCTACAGATAAGGATAGTTTTCACCCCTCCCCTCATCAATGAAGCTTCTTTTTGAAGAAAATAGAGACTAGCATAGAGATTCCCACCTGGTCAAAGTGCAGAGTAGACAACCATGGGGCACCCAACTCCAACTGGCACATCTTACTGTACAAACCTTATGTCTAAGTTTTTGCTTTGGGTCCTCTTGGAACTCTGAAGGTCTTGAGGAGCCATATAAAATTTCTGACTACCCTGAGGTTTCCCTAATGCAGAAATTCTGTGTAGATGCTCTGGCTTGACAGCCTCCAATCAGCCCAACTTTCTAACCTCATCCACCGAGGCAACAGCTTAAACCAGTTGAAAGCACCTTTCACCATCTAAACCATGCACCAAAGAGTGACCAAGCCATTCCTTGAGAACACTTCATAGAACATAAAAATTGTTCTACAAAATTATCAACTTAATAACCAAGAACAGAGAGTGAGGCAGGCCCAGCCAGGGTGCTGGGAGGAGAAGCATAAGCAGCAGCCTGTTGGGCCGTATCATCCCCAGACCGCTGGGAGGAGAATCATGAACACAAGTATGGCAGACCAGGTCAGGTTGTGGGGAGCATGAGCAGCAACATGACAGGCTGTGATGACATCAGCAGCCTCCAGAAATTATCTGACCACCAGAGCCTCAGGCTCAGTCCCACCAACACCAGGAGGAAGGACCGTCTGAGCCTTGGGCCCATCGGCACCTGGAGGAACAGTCAACACACAACATAAAGAGCAAGACAGCATCACCAGAAACCAGTGGTTCTACAAGAGCAAGACCTGAACGTCCCAACACAGATGAAGCAGAAGAAAATTACCTTAAAATTAACTTTATAAAGATGATGGAGGCCCTTAAAGAAGAAATGAAAAATTCCCTCAAAGAAATGAGGGGAGAGGCTGAGACTGGGCTGGAAGTGTAATCCAGCAGGAGGGAGTGCCTGTGTTTCAATAGCCTGCCTGCCGGTGGTGGAAAGGTAGGCCCTGCATCAGCTCAGCAAGAATCCTGGCCACCAAGGGGCACTGATCCTCTTGCAGCAGATTCATCATTGGACTGAGTTTGCTCTGACCCGTGGCAGAAGCCTGACAAGGAGGAGCTCAGACATCCCCGGTCCCCCTTGACTCCCTGGCCATTCTGCAGGGGCTAAGCCCTCTCGACTCCTAGCCCATCCCACCTTTCATCCAGGAACCCCTTCCTTTATTCCTCTCTTCCTCCTCGGGGCCATAAAATCACCCAGCTCAGCCAGCTTGCAGGCTGGGACTGGGCTGGAAGTGTAACCCAGCAGGAGGGAGTGCCTGTGTTTCAATAGCCTGCCTGCTGGTGGTGGAAAGGTAGGCCCTGCATCAGCTCAACAAGAATCCTGGCCAGCAAGGGGCGCTGATCCTCTAGCAGAAGATTCATCAGAGGGGGGAACCTGACCGAATACCAGAAGATCCACTAGAGAACAGTTGAAGGAAGAGATGGGTAGACGCCAAGGCAAGAATTCCTCCAACAATCTGAAAAACAACATGAAAACACCAGATCCCAGCGATCTTACTACAGAAGAACTTGAACACCCTGTTCTGGAAGAAGTGGAAAACAGTGTCATTATGAAAGCAATAGAGTCCCTTAAACAGGGTATGAATAACTCACTTAAAGAACTGGAAGAGAAGTATAACAAAAAGATTGAAGAAATGAGTAAAGAAATGGAAGAGAAATATAACAAAAGGTTT